TAAAAATTGGATTATTTGTCTTTTTGTTGTTGAGGTGTTGGAGTTTTCTATAACAGGCCAATTAATTTCGAGAAAGCCTCAACAAACCATTGATGGTAACCAGTGGTGGACTTATCCATCCTGTAAATACTGCACTGCCACATCTCCCAGCTCACCTTTAGCAGAAAGGCTTCAAGGGTGGCTGCTAGCAGCCCCTGTCTAGATAGGGTGTCCAGTGTCCTCAACTCTTCCATAGTTGTAGGGGATGGCAGACCGTCGGCTTTCCTTTGCCACCATACCCCTTGATCTTGTGGTCCCCAATGTACTTGCTCCATTAAATGAGGAGAGGCAACTGGTTACAGAACGCTGCATAGCAGCGAGGCCACTCTTCCATGCATGGGCCTGTAAACAGAAAAGCCCCTGCAGAATCCTTTAGCAAACCCCTGGGGTACAGGAGAAGAAACCTTGAAATGAATCATGTCAGCCATTGAGAAAGGTATGTGGATTACCCAGTGGGCCTATGTACCTCGTCAGTGGCATCAGCTTTGGCTGTGACCCAAGTAGGGAGCTCTAGTTTTCCTCATACTGAAATGAGGAAAATGTGACTTACTGGCACTATGTTTTCCCTTCACACGTTCATTAACATAGCACCTTTTTCCAAGTGCCTAGGGCAGCTACTCTCTATGCTGTTGCTTTCATATGGGGACACAGTCCTTGATGATGTTGTGGTCCTGTCTGTTATCATTTCAGATTTCCTAGCTATGTGGTTGGTATGTGGAAGGTGAGGGCCTCCTGGAGGTGGAATCTAGGCTAGAAGATGGCATGGATTCGGGACTAACCCACGAGGAGCACACCCTTTTCTCCCCAATAGAATAGGCAACTCATCACCTGCTAAAGAAGTTATGCCCTCATCCTTTTCAGAGGAACTCACTTTTCAGAGGGCAGCTACCCCACCTATGAGATCATCACCTTCCTCTTTGCCTAAGCTGGCATGAGACAGGGAAGGATAATTATGCTGTGAGAGTTTGATTCTGAATTCCACTTCCATTTTCTTCCATCTTTCCTTCTGGCTCTCTAAATCTTTTTTTTTTTTTTTTTAATTCCACTGTGAAAATATATGCACCAATACTTTGGCCAACACAACAACGTCCACATTTACACTCCAAAGACATTGATTACATTTTTCATGTTGTGCCAACATTACCAATCATTTTGCAATTTACTCTTAGAATGCATAAATAAACCAGTAATTCATTTGCTTGGGATGAGACCTATCCATAAACCTCCGCAAATGAGTTAATTTATCGAAATGAAAAGAACCATTCTTGGGCCACTGCCAGCCTGGATTCTGTGGCTGTTGAGGCTCACTGGATGCAGACTGTAAACAGCTCTGCACATTCCTTCTCAACAAGCCACCTAAGGATAAGGACATTGGTGCATGAAAGAAAGAAAGGAAAGGGAAAAGGAAATTAGCAGAAGGGATAAAGAGAAGAAAAATTGCTCTGTACTGAGCAGTGTGTTATCACCACCACTACCAGATGAGCTCAGTCCCCTTGCATGCTGTAGGGAGGACACTGCTGAGGAAGCTTAGCGTCCAGGATGGGTGACATCCGCAGTCATGCATGAGCCCTGATGTTCTGTGATGATATGGAAGGAACAGTTGATTTTGTTAAGGGGATTATTGTCGGAGAAATTGATGTAAGAGCCTTGGGCCCCGTTGTGTTGACTGAGGTTCATTTTAATGAGAGGATTAGAGAACACATCACAAGATACAGGGACCATTTCCAAACGTGTGTGTGTGTGTGTGTATAATACAGATTGTGTGTGTGTGTATTGGTGTACATGTGTATGTATGTGTATGTATATGCATAAACCAAATCAAACCAAACCCACTGCCATTGACTTGATTCCGACTCATAGCAACCCACATTGGGTTTCTGAGGTGGTAAATCTTTACAGAAGTAGATTGCCCCATCTTCCTTCTGTAGAGTGGCTGGTGGGTTTGAACTGCCAACCTTCTGGTTAGCAGTCAAATGCCTTAGAC